GACCAGTTTCCGCACCGGTGGTTTTACATTGGTTTTGTGTATATATATATGTGGCTATAGAAACTCTAAAAACCATGAATCCGGATATTGGGTAGTGTGAGGAAACTATACAATAGTTCGCATTGTCATCTTCCACAAATTTTCTGCACACTGAGACGAGAGTGAGAGAGGAAGAGAGAAAGAGTTCGACTATATATATTTATCATTCGGATTTTATATGTACAGTCGATTTTTTTTCCGCGAAAAAATCATTTTTCTTTCTATTCAGAAAATCGCAAAAAAAAATTTTACAAAAATTTAGGGATTGGATTTTTTTTTTTTTTTTAATAAATTTCATTATTTGAAAAGTGAATTTCAATTTGTGGAGAGAAAAAAATTAGAAAGTAATTTATAAATAAAAATTCTATTTATAAATTAGTTGAGAAAAATATATTAAAATTTTATTTTAGCAAAAAAATTTATTTATAAATTAGTTACGAAAAACGTAATAATTTTATTTTAACGAAAATTCATTCCTATGAATTATTTATAAATTAAGACCCTCAAAAAAAAAAAAAAAAAAACTGATTTCATAGAAATAATAATAATAATAATTTTATTTTAGCAAAAATTTAGTTATAAACTATTTTTAAGAGAAAATTAATAAGAATTTTTATTGCAACGAAAATTTATTTCTAAACTATAGAAAAAAAAAATTATAATAATTATTATTTTAGCGAAAAATTATTTATAAATTATTTGAGGTCCTAAAAAAAAACCTGATAAAATATTATTTAGAAATTATAATAATTTTATTTAAGCGAAAATTTAATTTATAAACTATTAATTAATGAATAAATAAAATAAAATTTATAAATAAGTTTATTTTTACTTTAACGTCAAAATATTTCTAAACTATTTATACAAAAAAAAAAAGTTATACCAATTTTATTGCAGCGAAAACAGTTTATAACGAGATTGAAAAATAAATGCGTGCAGCAAACACTCGTTTCAATTGAAAACAGGAACAAACAACTTTTAAAAATTACATGACGTGAACAATTTTGTAATAATATTCTCTCGTGCGACGTTTTTTTTTTTTTTACGATAGACATTTATAAGTCGCGCCAGTAAAATTACAGATATGCGTAAGAAAAGTTTTTGCCATTTTTTTTTTTTTCGTAAGAAGTTCTCTATAATATAAATTCTACGCACGCGTACACAAGATGACACGTTATTTTGCGCACAGCAACTTTATATTTATCTCCTCCTCTTTTTTTTTTTTTTTTTTTTTTTTTTTTGACATGAGCAGCGTACTCGTAAATAGCTCGAAATATCTAGTATCAACTTGTCATCCCCCTCCGATATAAAAGGCTCGACAAAAGCAGTGGTTGGCTTTTTAAAAATCATCTCGCGTAAACCCCTCGAGCGTGAATTGGCGAGCTCAAAAAAAAAAAAAAAAAAAAGAAAGAAAAAAAATGAAATTCCCTGCGAAAGGTGAAACTCATTAACACTCGTGTGATATGTGATCTGTATTTGCCTTTTCTCTCTCTCTCTCTTTCAAAAAAAAGAAAAAATGGATTTTTTGTTTTTTTGTTAGTACAATTCTTTTTAATTCTCTTCTTTTATTCGTAAAGTTTTTTTTTTATCCGACTGCATGCATAGAAAGTATATTTTTGTATTTTTCTAACTATCAATAGAAACACAGTTCGTTAAATAAAAATATTGTCAAATATAGTGAAACGTGAAATTTAAATGTATGCCAATTAACGATACCAATAATTCACAAACAATGTCATACTTTTTTTTTTTGTATAACAATATTAAATTCTTTTTAAATTTGAATTTTTTTCATGAATTTAATTAATTTAATGAAAGTTGTATTATCGTGAAAGGGAATTTTTATTTTAAAAAGGTTTAGAATCGCATATATGTAAATGGGATTTTAATTACAAAAAGGTAATTAATTGAAAAAATTTGATATAACAAAAATTAAATTATTAAAATATTGTTTTTAACTTATGGGAATTTATATTTGATATCTGTACAACGAAATTAGCAAAAATATTTTTTTTCACTAATTAATTATAATTAAAAATGAAATTATAATTGAAAAATAATTTATTATAATATTATTTTATATAATATTTATAATAAAAATATTTATAGATATTATAATAATTTTATTTTAGCGATAATTTATTTATAAACTATTCATTAATGAATAAATGAAATGAAATTTAAAAAAAAAATTATTTTTACTTTAACGTCAAAATATATTTCTAAACTCTATTTTTATAGAAAAAATTATAAGAATTTTATTTTTTAACGAAAATTTATTTCCAAACTATTTATAGAAATTATATTAATTTTATTATAGCGAAAATTTGTTTATAAACTATTTATAGGGAAAATTATAATAATTTTTTTTTGTTTATAGAGAAAAAAAATATAAGAATTTCTTTTTTAACGATAATTTAATTGTAAACTATATTTATTGAAATTAATAATATTTTATTTTTGCAAAAATTTGTTTTTAAATTATTTATAGAAAAAATTATAAAGAATTTTATTTTAACGAAAATTTATTTGCAAACTATTTATAGAAATTATATTAATTTTATTTTAGCGAAAATTTGTTTATAAACCGTATAGAGAAAAAAATGTAAGAATTTTTGTTTTAACGATAATTTAATTGTAAACTATATTTATAGAAATTAATATTTTATTTTACCAAAAATTTGTTTTTAAATTATTTATAGAAAAAATTATAAGAATTTAATTTTAATGAAAATTTATTTGTAAACTATTTACAAAAATTATATTAATTTTATTTTAGCGAAAATTTGTTAATAAACTATTTACAGGAAAAATTATAATAATTTTTTTATATTATATTTATTATTATTATATAATAATAAATAAAAATAATATTTATTATTATTATATAATAATAAATAAAAATAATATTTATTATTATTATATAATAATAAATAAAAATAATATTTATTATTTTATATTAATATAAAAAAAATATTTTCTCCAAATATAAAAATGTTAAATTAATTAAAAAAATTAAATATGAAACTCTTATTAATTTTTTTTTTTTTTGGGGGGGGGGGGGAATTCACATTCTCGCAAAGATAAAACGAATTAAAAATCTATTAATTAAAAATCCATCTTTTTTTTTTAAGGAATTTTTTTTTTTGTCTCACCCTATCGCTATCGAATACCGTCTGTTGGGACAAAGCAGGTCGTGATGCCTTCAGAATAAGAGATTGAATACCCCTATTGTAAAGGTGAATGATTTAACGGGATTCACAAAAAAAGTGTATACACCAGTAATTAAGGTTTTTTTTTTTGAGGGACACTAGAGATGACGGTAACAAAAGATCATCAGAGACATTAGTGAAAAAAAAAACCTTCGTTTTTGCTCTCAAAACAAAAGTTTGTTTTCTATCAACTATACTATATCTATCAATTATATAAGTTTCCATCATTTTTTTGAGATGAAAAATAAAAAAGAGTACGTTCTTTAAAAAAAAAATATAAAGAATAATATTTTTTTCTGCGGTATTGTTTTCTTTTTAATCAAGAAAAAAAAAATATATATATATATAATGTCGCTTTGGGAGCATATATGTTGGTCGTGAAGAATTTCCAAGAGTCCCTCTCGTTTCTATTATTGCACATACAATTTCTTTTTCCTCTCCAAAAAATACTGCGAAAATAAACAAGAGTCGAAGGTTCGTATATTATATGTACTTGAAGAAAAATATTTCTTATATTTTTTTTTATATAAATAAATAATTTATATTTCAATTATATATTTGATTTTAAGAATTTCTTCCACTAATTTGAAAAATGAAATTACAAAAAAAAAAACGTTTTTGAAATTCCACAATTCGAGATATTTCTAGGAAAGTTAATCAAATCTTTCCATATTCAATTCTGCAAAAAAATATTTTCGCCACGCATATGGAATTTCATTTTAATTTCTGTTTCGACACATACGAGAGAAATGAAGAGAGAAAAATATTTTTATTTCCCCCATATATGAGAATTTATGATATTTTTGCAATAACTAAATTATTCATTTTTGTGAAGCAATTTTTTGTTTGTTAAATTGTTAAGAAAATCTTATTTCAAAAAAAAAAAGAAAAAATTATTTGACGACTTTTTTTTTAATTTTGCTTTTCAATTAGTAAAATTTAAATATGAAAATTTTTTTTACTATTGAATCAGTAAAATTTAATAGTAAAACAATTTTACAATTGAATTAGTAAAATTAAACTAATTAATAGTAATTAATAGTAATTAATATTTATAATAATTAGTAACAAATAATAAGTAAATATTAATTAAATTTAATAAATAAATAAATAAATAAATTATTAGGTAATCCTTAATTAGAATTTTTCATTTGTTTATAATAATTATAAACAAATAATTTGTAAATATTTATTTATTTATTTATTTTTACACGGGCAGTGCCCTTTATATTTAAATATTTTAAATATTAATTAAATTTAATAAATAAATAAATTAATTATTAGGAAATCCTTAATCAGAACGTTTCCAATTGTTTATAGTAAATATAAACAATTAATTTTTAATTATTATTTAAATTTAATAAATAAATAAATTATTAATTATTACCAATTTTTTAATTAGAATTTTTACAATTGTTTACAATAATTATAAACAATAAATTAATAATTATTATTTAAATTTCATTAATTTGATAAATTAATTATTATGAATTCTGTTATTAATTAATTAATTAATTAATTAATTAATTAATTAATTGAATAATAATTAGAAATTTCTTAAAAAAATTTTAGAAATTCGTTAATTAATTTATAGTGATAATTATTCTCTTTCGATTTAATGTAAGGTTAAAAAAAAATTTTTGATTGGTGAGTCTCCTTAGTCGTATAAGTGTTGAAAATACTTTTCTTTTGTTCCCCCTTTTTGCCCCTTAAACTGTTCTAATTAAATGAATTTAATTAAGGACTTACAGATAACGTTGAGATGCGCGTTGGCCCGAATTGCTTTTGCTCTGAGAAATGGTCCCACTTGACACTGATATTCTCCATCGTCACTTAAAGATGCATTTGTTATCTTCAAATTGTAAATTCCAGCAGTTGGTTCACCAACTAGCCTTAACCTTGGATAACCGACAATTTCACCATCTAAACAATTAATCATTATATATATATATATATATATTACGTAACGTATAATATGTAGAATGTAATCCATTAAAATATGTTTTAAAATTTCAAAAAGTTATAATTTTTTTTCTAAATTAAATTTTTAATTACAATTAGTTTAAATAACAAATAAAAATATTTTGAATTTTTTTTCATCCTTTTTCTTGTAAATTTACTGTTATTTTTTTATTTTTCTTTTTGATTTTTATTAGGTAATTTTGTAAGTTCTCTTTTTGTGAAATTTTTTCAGTAGTAAAAGTCAGTTTCAGTCAGACAAGGCGATTAAAAAATTTCGACTTTTTTTGTAAGTTTTTTAGGTAATTTTTTAATTCCCTCTTTGTGAATTTTTAGTAGTAAAAGTCAGTTTTAGTCAGACAAGAAGTGGAATAAATATTGTAGCTTTGAAATTAGTAGCAAATGACAGTTTCAGACAGACATTTTAATTTTTTGTCATGTAAATTGTATTTTTGTTTTTTTAATTTAATTTTTTGTCTCTCAGTATAATAAAAGTTAATTTTTAGTCAGACAAATATTTTTAATTCTTCGTTAAAATATATATTTTTTTTAAAATAAAATTTTGCTTTTATTAAAGTAGTAAAAGTCAGTTTTAGTCAGATAATATTTACGAAATTGTCTTAATTTTTGTACCAGTAATAAAAGATAGCTTTTCAGTCAGACAAAATGTAATCAATATTATTTTTATATTTGCATTAAAAGAGGATTTTTCCAATTTTTTTTTATTAGTAGTGAATGTCAATTTGAATCAGACAAAATTTAACAAAATATGAAAATTAATAAATAAGTAGCAAAATACATTTTTAGTCAGACTTAATAAATTCTTGTGAATTTGTCATCAGTAGTAAAAGTCAGTTTAAGTCAGAAAAGACGTTTAAAAAATATTTTATTTTGAGAATCAGTAACAAAAGACAGTTTTAGTCAGACTTTTTAAATTCTTATAAAATTCTTATGAAATAATTTGCATAATTCTAATAATTTTAATAATTTTAAAAATTTTCTAAAAGTAAATTATAATATTGATTAATTATAAAATTATTGATTTTTCAATTTAAAAATTCTTCTAATTTCCACAGAAAATTAAAAGGGCATTAAAATTAATTTGGTATTTAATTGGTATTAAAATAATCAAAATTGGATGAAAATAATAAGCGTTACAGCTTATTTTAATGCCCTTTTAATTTTCTGTGTCCGTTTCAATAGAAAAAACAATTTTTAGTCAGACAAAACAAATTTTAATTCTTTATTATTATATATTTTTTATTATTTAATTCCTTAAATTATTGTTAAAACAACTAATTAAATAAATCGATTTTTTGTAAGATTTGTTATAAAATTTGAAAAATACGGTTTTTTTCCTTTCTATACTTAGTAAATTGCAGGAGAAAATATTTTGAGGTTAATTCCATTAATGTAATGCCTGATGATTACATTAGTGAAAATCCGAGAGGAAATTCAACTGGAATTATATTATTACTTAGGAGGAAATGTGCTCAAATATATATATATACTCACTTTGTTGAACGACAAATGCGAATCCATCTTTGGTCCACTGAACGATTCCAACTCTGTTATCAACCGTACAATTTAAAAGCACATCACCACCTTCTGATACTGAACTATTTGCCGGTCTCACTCGAAACGATTGCACTGCGCCTGTAACATTAAAAATACATTATTAGAATATTTTCTCTAAAAAAAATACCTAAATTAAAAAAAAAAAATTCTAAAAACCGAAATTAAAAACAAAATTGAAAATCATAACAGAAAATTCAATTAAAATTATAATTTTTTTTTGTCTTTATAAAAGTTATCCATTAAATGGTTTTTGAGAAAGCTTCATTGAATTCCAATAAAGCTATCTATGTTGGAAAATCGAACAACTCATTTAAAATTGACTTAAATGTTACCAGAAGCTCTATATATATATAGATCTGTGACCAACTCTTGTTTTCCTTCAGGTTTTCTTTTTCTCTTTTTTTTTTAAAAAAAAAAAAAAAAAAGCACTACTATTGACATTCTATTCAGTGATGTCCTCCCGTTTACTCAATGGGAAATAAAATACTGCCCTTAAATTCGAGGAAAGACCCGATAAATTGATCTTCACTTCTTTACTTACCTTTTATCGGTCAACTAAGCTTAAACTTAAGTATAAATAATTTCTTATAAACTCTTTTTTTCCATTTTATCTCGACCATTCTCCTTTGTTCACAATTTTCTTTTTTTCTCTCTCTCTCTATATATATTCTCGTAAAAAGCTTCAAGATAAATATTTTACAAGATGAAATATTTTCTTTATAAATAAAAAATTTGTTTTTTAAATTTTATATATTTATTTTTGAATTTTTAATTAATTTTCAATTCTAAATTAATATTTTATTTTAAAATTAATTTTCAATTCTAAATTAATATTTAATTTTAAAATTAATTTTCAATTCTACACTCTAAATCTGAATCAGTCATATTTCACTGATTAGCAGTAGAAATCTACTAATTGCTATAGCGAGAATTAAACAACTGATATAATTAGTAGAAATTTACTGATTCAATTAGTAATAATATCAATTACTGATTGAATCAGTAATATAAATATATGGCGGCGGCACTGATTTAATAGTTAATTTTAAAGGTTATGTTATATACAAATTACTGATTTACATAAGTTATTTTCTATTGCTTGTATATTCACTAATTATATTAGTAAATTTCAAAAAATAATTGAAACTTCAGTTAAAATGAAAAGTACTGATTGAATTAGTAAAATTTCTACTTATTCAGATTTAGAGAGTAAATTAATATTTAATTTTAAAATTAATTTGCAATTCTAAATTAATATTTAATTTTAAAATTAATTTGCAATTCTAAATTAATACTTAATTTTAAATAAATTAAAGCTTAAAAGCCAAATAAAAAAAGTTATTTTTAATTACATAAAGAAATTTGAAATTTTCTCGTATGGGAACAAAAAAAAAAATTATTAAATTTCCTATTTGTGGAAGAAATTAGAAAAAAGAAGAGACAATATAAAGACAGTTTTGGCCGAGAATCGTTGAAATGAAGTCACGAAGTACTCAAGTTTAAATATCAAAGTAGAAAGAGAGAGAGAGAGAGAGAGAGAGAGAGGGGGGGGGGGCTTGTTACACTCACGTTCTTGAGAAACGTCTTGCGGGATTAAGTCAACTTGCTGCAAAATTCCCCAGGATAGTTTTGGTATGACACGTGACACTGGTGCCACGTGTACTTTTCGCTTTAAGACCCTTAGGGATGTTGAAAACGCAAATGATAAGCTGTACGTGAAAACTACTTCAAGATTTTGCCTCTTCTATTTATAAAGTTCAAACATTTTATCCAATATATAGTTTTTTTTTTTTAAATGGTATTACAAAGTAATATTTTTTTCACTCTTCAATTATTTTTTTTTTCACAATCGTAAATATATTTTTAATTTTTAAAGAAATACAAAATTCATATTTCAATTTATTAGTTTTTATTATAAATTATTTATATTTATATATATTTAATTAATTATATAAAATTAATTAATTTATATTATAAATTGTAAATATTGTAAACTAGTTATTCAATTATTTTTCATACCCCAATTATGTAAATATATATTTAAATTTATAGTTTATAATAAAAAATTATAAAAATTAAATTTAAATTTTGTTTTATAAATTATAAATATAAATATATTTACAAGAGTATGAAAATAAATAGGATAACTATAGTATTAAAAAAATATATTTATATTTATAATTATTTATATATATATATATATATATATATAATAATTTATATAAATGAATTATAATTACATTTATAGAATTAATTAATAATTATATTATCTAATTTTTATAAAATTATGTTTGTAAACTAAAGAAATATTTGAAAGTTAGTAGTAATAATTATCATGTCACAGTGGCTGCGTGGTAAGTTAAATGTGTTACGGTCACGCCAACCAGGTTTCGATTCCCCATGCGAGCGAAAATTTTATTTCTCGAATTTAACTATCGTTTGCATGTATTTATAATAATTACTTCTAAATAGAAAAATAAATAAATAAATAATTATTATTATTATTAAAAAATAAAAAAAAAAAATTACGTAACATTGTCGCTTTATGAATTTCATGAGACACTGAAATTTGCTTCTTATTTCGATAAATTTACATTTTCGGTGTAAGTTTAGTTTCAAGGCGCAAAGTATACCGAGAGCAAGAGAGAAAATGAGAGAGAGAGAGAGAGAGAGAGGAGTGGACGTTAGCGTAATTTGCGTAAAGATCAGTACTGCGCAGCGTTTGCAATTTCGTAAAGCTCCGTATCAAGATACATTTCACGAGACATGGCTTTAGGCAGTCTAAAGTTTCTCCATTTTGTAGTGAATTGGTGCACGTAATTCGATGCATACGCCAATGCACCTTTCCATTTCGCGTACTATCCTATGACTTTGCCTCATCGATTATCGAAATATGCTCAATTTAACCCAAGAGATATCAAAAGCGACAATTACATATTGCTTTGATTTTAATTCAAATATAATTATTGTTTAAAAAAAATCTATACCATATAAAAATAAATAAAAGAAAAATAGCGAATTTTTCACAATACACTGGACCATAAATATATATAAAAGGCAGTCGACTGGAATTAGGAAATCTAATGAAGCAAAATATATAAAATACAAGGAGAAAGAGAGAGAGAGAGGGGGGGGAGAGAATATGTGAAGGGTATTTGTTTTTCACATTTGTAGAAACGAAGAGGTAGAAAGAACAAGGTGTATTCAAATTCTCAAAGGAAAAGAAAACTAACCAGGAAAACTCTCCTTTTCCTCTTTTTTCTCTTCTCTTCGCTATTTCACGCTGACAAAAGATGAGGTCGTAGAGTAGAGAAAAAGAAGAGAAAGAGAGAAATAAAAGAAAAAAATTCTTCTGCTATTTATGTTGCATGTTGGTTCTCGAATATTCATTTCGTCGAGCAAAGAACTCTTGAAAGTGCTCGCTTAAAGTATTCTGCACTCGACTTGCACCTTGACACTACTTTTCCTTGATTTTTAAATTTACTTCCTCATATCCCGTTCACTACTTTCATTTTTTTTCTTCTTTTTCAAAATACGCATATTTTCTTTTTAAATAAGCTTCTTCTTTTATCTTGATTCGATAAAATCGTTCCCACATGAAAAAAAAACAATATTTAAAAAAACATAATTTAAAAACCGCAACGAATTAAAAAAAAAACGTAACAAAAAAACATAATTAAAACACATAATTCCCACTTGGAAAGATTCCCCGGAAAGTGCCCCCTGGAGGTTCTATCAGAATTCCGCCGGAACTTCCAACGTAATTCCGTCGGAATTCCATCGGAGTTCTAAAGAATTTCCGATGGGATTCCGACGGAATTAGAACTCTAAAATTTTTGAAAAATATTAATCGGAATTCCGTCAGAATTCCCCCTGGAGGTTCTATCAGAATTCCGCCGGAACTTCCAACGTAATTCCAACGTCGGAATTCCATCGGAGTTCCCAAGAATTTCCGATGGGATTCCGACGGAATTAGGACTCTAAAATTTTTGAAAAATATTAATCGGAATTCCGTCAGAATTTCGCTGGAACTCCGTCGGAATCCAATCGGAAATTCTTTGGAACTCCGATGGAATTCCGACGGAATTACGTTGGAAGTTCCGGCGGAATTCTGATAGAACCTCCAGGGGGCACTTTCCGGGGAATCTTTCCAAGTGGGTGAAGAAATATCATAAAAAAAAAAATACAAAAACAAAAGAAAAACATAATAAGCTAACAAACTGAAAATAATAATAATAATTAAAAAACTATATATAAAAAAACAGCTTTATTAAATTTTCTGTTTAATTTAATTAAAAAAAGTTAATTTTTGGAAAATCGTTTGAAAAATTTCCGACGGCAAATTTTTCTTATAAAACCATTTCTTTATATAGAAAAAAAATCCTTTGATAAATTTGACAATGATACGCTCTGATTATAGGGCAATAAATCTCGTCGTGGTTCATAATATAATTGAAGTAGACGACTTAAAAAGGGGCAAAAGTTCAAAGTGTTAACAGAGCATATAAATCCTGCGTAAATTCAAACACACACACACATATATATATATGTATATATACACACATATTTTTATGTAAAGAAGTAAATGTATGAGCGTAACACGCCTTGAGTTGTACGCTGTTTTTAAATTTGCAATGTTAAGAGCTATATACAGCTTATATAAAGTACAAGAGAAAAAGCCTTTTTGAAAAAGGAGAGTACATTATTTCTTACACCCCTAAGAGCTAAAATGATAGTTCAAAAAAAAAAAAAAAAAAACTTTCTTATAACGTTCCTAAAATAGAACATATTTATAAAAAGTTCTACAATAAAAAAAAAAGTTCTATAAAATTTAAAAAAAAATTATAAAATGAAGAAATAAAGTTTTAGAATATAAAAAAGAGTTTCTAAAATAAAAAAATAAAGTTCTAAAATTAAAAAAAAGTTTTAAAATGAAGAAATAAAGTTTTAAAATAAAAAAATTAAATTCTAAAGTGAAGAAAAAAAGTTCTAAAATGAAGAAATAAAGTTCAAAAAATTTAAAAAAATTCTAAAACGAAGAAAAAAAGTTCTAAAATTTAAAAAAATATTATAAAATGAAGAAATAAA